GAGGATTTGGAGGAGCGGGAGGAGCACGAGGAGCAGGAGGTGCAGTAGGAGCAGGCGGAGCAGGCAGTGCAGGGGGTGTAGGTGGCACTGGAGGCGCTGGTGGCTCACGTGTATACCACCCATCCGAGGTAAGTCGCCAGGCGCGGGTTGGTTTCTTCTTGAAAAGGAGGTGTGTCCCACTGTATTCCGCCATGGCTTTGCCAGCCAGGCGGGCTAGACTAGAAACCGAATGAAAAAAATGAGGAGGGTGCACAAATGCCTGATGAACTGCACAAGTAGTGCAGTACCCTCTTAGCAGCATCCATGTGCACCTTTTGGTGCCGACCAGGAGCCACGTAGCGAGCCAGAAGGCCAAGAGGGTACGCGAGGTCAGGACGAGTGCAAGTCATCAGGTACATGAGGCAGCCAACTAGCTCTGGGTAAGAACCACTCGGCTCTACGGACTCGTCCGAAGGTGGAGCTGAGAGCGAGTGACCTGTAGCCAGAGGAGTGGCCTGTGCCGAGAACCACGTGAAGCCGAAGCGCTGAAGGACCTGCTGCACCATGTGTGACTGAGTCAGTGTGATGGTGCGGCGTGCTCTGTCCCGGGTGGTCTGCAAGCCAAGATAGCTGCGCAGTTCACCCATGTCTGTGCACGTGTGTCTCTTCTTCAGCTCCGACTTCACGTGGGCGAGAGCCTCAGTGTCAGCAGTGGCAAAGACCAAGTCGTCGATGTACACGAGGATGTAGAACGGTGGCAGCGAAGTGTCAGTGCGCAGAAACAGTCACGGGTCAGCAGTAGAAGGCGCGAACCCAAGAGCCGCAAGTGTAGTCCTCAATGTGTCGTGCCACTCACGAGGCGCTTGGCGGAGACCGTAGACCGGCCGCCGGAGGCTCCACTGGGTACCAGGAGGAAACGACCAAGTGAAGCCAGGTCGGCGGTGCAGCCAGATCTCCTCGTGCAGGCTGCCCTGCAAGAAAGCTGTGCTGAAGTCAAGAGAGTGAAGCTCGTAGTCACGCTGAGGGGCAACGTGCAGTAGCACCCGAAGAGTGGTCATCTTTGGGGTGGGGGAGAAGGTCTGGAAGAAGTCAACTCCCTCTCGCTGACTGAAGCCTCTAGCAACGTAACGAGCCTTGAAGACAAGCGGAGAACATAGCGGCCGCTTCACCCTGAAAATCCACATGCCACTTACGATGTTCGCCCTAGGAGGGGGAACCTCGTCGACGTAAGTGCCAGTGGACTTCCAGGATGCCATCTCTGCGTCCATGGCTGTCTGCCACTGAGAGGAGTACTCACCCGCGATCGCCTCAGCGTAAGAGCGCGGGGTGGGGATGTCTGGTGCATCCGGGTCTCCCTTAGGTGCAATCAGCATGGACACGAGATGGGGTACAGCAGCGGCAAAGCACTCAAACTCCTCTTGCCTGTCCTCAAAGACATCCGTGCCAAGAGCACACTCACCTCCGACGGACGGAGGACAGACTCACTCAGACTCAGCAACAAGACTCGCAGTGTAGTCTAGACGACAGTGAGCAGCAAATTCGACAAGCTAAGCAACTAAGGCAGATGCAGCAGCTGACTCAAAGGAAGGGTCAATGACAGCAGTGGCCAGGAGACGCGTGACAGTAGGACTAGCAGCACGAAGAGAGTCAGACTCCGGGTCAGCTAGGGCAGGAAGGGAGGACGCAGGAGGAGAAGGCAGAGGGACATGCTGTGGAGCAGTGGAAGGACCAAGCGTCATCTGGTGAGTGCCCAAGACAGCAGGAGGACGCTAACGTGGGACACGACGACCAGTGCGAGCAGCACAAACAGGTGACGCAGGACGAGACTCAGGCGACACAGGACGAGACTCAGGCTCACGATGCTCCGTAAGACTTCCTGTCGGACAAGTGTAGGGAGAAGGACCAGGGAGTGGTGAGGTAGGCTGTAACTGTGACTGGACAGGCAGAGGACATCCTAAGGAGGGAGCAGGACAAGGAGGAGGTGGCTGACCAAGAACCTGCTGAAGGAGCGGAATGAAGTACGACCACGGCCATTAAGTGCCCCAAGAACCAGCAGAGATAGCATCAGAACCTCCACCAGTAGCTCCAGCTCCTGCAGCACCACCAGCAGCTCCAGTAGCGCCAACTCTAGGACCCCCAATAGCACCAGCTCCAGCCGCACCGTCGGCTCCAGCACCAGCAGGAGGACGAGTGTCAGCCCCTCCAGCTCTAGCCCCTGCAGCACCACCAGTCCCAGTACAACAAGCACCTCCAGTGGCTCCAATAGGCCCAGCGGCCTTAGCTCCAGCTCCAGCAGCACCTCCAGCGCCCACAGTACCACGACGGCTGCGACAGTACCGAGAATACCACTTACGCAGCTGCTGGGAAGAGAAAGCGCCCCCAGGCGTAGCACCCCCAGGCTCAGGATCTCCAGGCTCAGCACCCCCAGTCACAGTACCCCTAGGCTCAGCACCCCCAGTCTCCGCACCCCCAGGCTCAGCACCCCTAGACCCAGCACCACCAGGCTCAGCACGCCAGGCTCAGCACGCTCAGTACCTCGCGCAGGACCAGAGTCGACAGCTACCTTGACAGGCTCGACCGGGTCTACGTGGGAAACACCTGAGGGAGCAGGACCCTGGGGAGGCAGGGGGTCTACCAAAGCAGCACCTGGCGTGAGGAAGAGCGGCGGGGGGGGGGAGCGGGGCAGTGCGGTAGGGGAAGAGACGGTAGAAGGGGACCGACTCGTCAAACGTGACGTCCTGAGAGGGGAAGACACGGCGCGTGGTGGGGTGGTAAAACTGCTAGCCACGCGCGTCAGGAACAAAGCCCAGGAAGACACAAGGAAGGGTGCGGGAGGAGAGCTTGTCTGCGGACGTATCGCGGAAATAGGCACGAGATCCCCAGACCCGGAACACAGATGCATCGCCAACCTCTCCCGTCCAACACAGTGTCAGCGAGGTCTCTGGAACGGAGACACGGGGCTAGAGGTTGAGCTGATGCGCGGCGTACCGGACCGCAAACGGCCATAGAAAATGGGGGGCAGCCGCATGGACCAAGGAGGTACGAGCGACCTCCATGACCAAGGCAATGTGGCGCTCAGCAACCCCATTCTGCTGCGGAGAGGCCGGAAGCGTGAACGTCTAGCGAATGCCCTCCCCCTGACAAAAGGTCTCCAAGAGGCCGGAGGAAAACTCACCACCTCTGTCAGAGTGCAGTCGCATGACGGGAAGGTCCGTGCAAAAGCGACTCTCCAGCTGGAGACGGGTAGCGCGGATCCAAGGGATCAAGACAGCAGGGACCTCTCCCTTGGTGCGCAAGGGGAAGACCGTGGTGTAACGCATGTAGTCGTCCACTACCAGCAGGAAGTAGCGCTCTCCTCCCTGTCCATGGACGCGGGATGGGCCCCACACGTCCATGTGAAGGGTCTGCAGAGGAGCCTCTGTCGGGGGAAACTCAGAGGAGTGAGGGGTGGCACACTGCCACCCCTCGACATACGGAAGGCAAGGAGGGGCCGGGGACGGTGGCAGGGGAGGTAGTGACCTGGGGAGACCAGAGACAAGGAAACGATAGTGCATGCCACGAAGGCGCTGCATCGAAGGGTGACCAAGGCGGTGGTGCCAGAGGACCGTCCGGTGCGACAGGGTGCGACACGAGCAGGGGGCGGACAACTGACCTGACGCAGACGCTGCTACCTGAGGGGACTCAGTGGTCAGTGCGTACAAGTCCGACCCCGGCTGCCGAGTGAAGGTAGCCAGGTGACGACCCGTCTGGGCACACGTGCAGTGCGTCACACGCTCGTAGGCAGGGGTGAACTGGTGAACACCCGCGTCCTGGAGCGCAGAACCCGCCACCAAGTTCATAGAGAGCGAGGGGAGGTAAAGGCCCGACAGTGTGCCGGACGGGACAGCAGGACAAGGGAGGGCAGTGGTAGAGGTCGCAAGGACCAGACCCCCGGAGGGGTCAGCCAGGGAGACAGCAACCGGTCTAGGGAGCTGCTCTAGGGCAGTGCGGTCGTGAAAGAAACAGTGGGAAGCACCTGAGTCCAGTGTGAAGGTGTGGAGTGCCACAGTAGACGCAGCACCTGAGGGCGCAGACTCACAAGCACCTGAAGTAGCAGACACACCTGCACCTAGAGCAGCAGCCTCACCAGGACCTGGGGCAGCAGACGCACTAGCATCTAGAGCGGCAGCCTCACTGGTTGCAATGCCTGGGTCTGGTGGCACACACAAGTAACAGTCACCCTCAACACTAATAGTCAATGCATACATGGCTCCAAGGATAACATCAAAGTCAAGTGCAAAGACATCTATGTTCTTTTTAAGCCGATCAGCCCAGCGGGGCAGCTCAGAGGCCTCAGGGAACTGTGCACGCCAGGCGTCGTCGAGACGGAAGAAGCAGCGTTGCGGTGTGTGGAACCTCCCACACGTCTGACCAGCGCGGTCACCTGTGCGGATGACATACGTGCAGGTACCTCCACCCCCAAACCCCCCATGCTGGGAGTACCACTCACGAAGCTGCTGGGACGACGGGGTCTCTCCGAGACGCTGCTGCTGGCGCTGAACACCACCCAAACCCCCACGCTACGCTGGTCCACCCCGACCACCACCCGTGCAGCCGCCACCACGCCCACCGCCGCCACCACCACCGCCTCCACTCTGGCCTCCTCCACCACCATTGCCGCCACCACCCCCGCCGCTGCCACCGACCCCCCCAGCCCCGCCACCACCCTCGCCACCGCCGCCACCCCCACCGCCCCTTCCGCCTCCACCTCCACCTCCACCCCCCCCCCCCCCCCCCCCCCGCTGGCACCACCACCACCCTTGCCCCCTTTGCCCTTGCTGCCCTTGCGCCTCCAGCTAGGAGCAGACGCAGCCCCGACTTCCTCAGCACCAAGGAAGTCGACAGCGGCAGCAGAGGCAACCGAGGGGAGAAGGGGGGGAGGGGAACACCCTTCAAAGAAGGGCGTGCAGGGGTCGCCACGAGAGGCACCTACAGCAACTATGCTAGCCTCAGCAGCAAGCAGATGCTTCTCGATCAGGTCAATGGTGAGCTTGGTGGGGCAGAGAGCGAGAAAGGTGTCCCTAACTGCGCGAAGAGAGTCAGGGAGACGGGTGACTAGGTGGTAGAGAACGAGGTACATCGGGGGGGGGGGGGGTTCTTAGCGAGGAACTCTGCAGGAAGGGCGGCGCGGTAGCGAGTGTTACTGGTGCGAAGGTGGGTAATGAGGTCAGCGACTGTGGGAAAGGCGGCGAGATCGGGGAAAAGATAAGGCAGCGAGAGACGACCTATCGTAGCAGAGGCAGGCGAGGAGTAGCGAGCGACGACTGCATCATATAGTGCCTTAGCAGTCTTGTGCTGGCCGAAGTGTGCGCGCTCATCTAACGGCAGGTGGCTGCGAATGGCTAGGCGAGCGTGGGCGTCATGAGTCTGCCACTGGGGGCAAGCTTTACTGTCAGCAGTGTCAGCAGGTACTAGAGCTGTTCCGGACGCGTGGTCATACAGCAAGACATTGTCCTTAGCGGTGATCTGGAGGAACAGGTGCAGATCGTTGAGCCAAGCTTCAAACTGGAGCGGACGGCCCTCAGCATCGAAAGAGAGAAATGTGGGAGAGGCCATAGTGGCAGTAGCAGCAGTAGCAGCAGCTGTAGTAGCAGTAAGAGCAGTAGCAGTAGCAGCTGTAGTGAGAAGAACATCTGTAACAGCAGGAACAAGAACAACAGGTGCTGCAGATGGGGCGTCGCGGCTCTCTCAGGGCGGCGCGGCTCGGGCGGCGCGACTCGGGCGGCGCGGCTCAGGCAAGTAGGGCGGCGCGACGGCCGGCCTATGCACGGTGCGTGGCGTTGCCTAGGGTGCAGCTGCGCTCAGGCCGCGGCTGGGTTCATGCTGCAGCTAAGCGCGAGCTGCAGCAGCCGACGCGCGATCGCCATTGCACGCGGACTGCGACCTGCGGGCGAGCAGCGGTGGGTCGAGCGCCGTCCTAGGGGCGAGCGGTCTTGCATGGGCTGCAGTCACGCGTGGGCAGCGGCCTAAGAAAGCGACGCGGCTGCCTACAGGCGGGGCTGCATCGTGCTTGAAGGCCAGCCGGGCCGGTCGACGGGCGGGCGCTAGAAAAAAAAGAGGCCGCGCGCGGGCGGCTAGCGAGCTGCGCACGGGCAGCGTGAGAGAGAGAGAGAGAGAGAGAGAGAGAGAGAGAGAGAGAGAGAGAGAGAGAGAGAGAGAGAGAGAGAGAGAGAGAGAGAGAGAGGCGCACAAGGGCGCGACGGTGAGAGGGTGCTCGAGGGCGCTACTAGCGGAAGGGTGGGCCCTTAGGAACAAGCGGTCCTAGGTTCCTAACCTAGGCTCGTAATACCATGTCAAAATGAGAGAAGTGATTGCACTAGGAAGATTGAGAGTACAAGTATGAAACCCTAGAGTATTGTAACCCCTAAAGGCTAACCCACTGTAGCCTACACATTAGCAACACATATAATGTTTGACATAAAACACACAGCACCCAATTTACGCCTACTGCACTAAACACATGTTACAATGAGAAAAAAAGCCTAATGTTGCATTGCAACCTTATTATCCATACTATGGATGGAGCCAAATAATGAAAATCTTCAAATCGGTATTTTCAAATCAGCCAGGCTGCCCCACGCTCAAAAAGGCTGGACATTTGGCATATGCAGGGCTTGACAAAAGACCTCTATTGGTGAGGAAAGACCTGTAGGTTGGGAGAGCAGAGAGAACGGAAATGACAGAGGAATGGGGAGAGGGTGTAAGGGGTACAGCAAGCATAGACAGGGAAGGTGGAGAGGGTGTAACGCATTTCGATGAGTAATGTGGAACATCCCCTCCCTTTTCTTCCCCTCCCCTCTCTTTCCTCCCTCCCCCCCTTTCCTCCCCTCCTCCCATTCTCATGCCTTCGCGCTAGCCCCCATCTCACATCGAATTGAACCAGCGCCAATCGAACCTAGGTGCGCCCGGCGCTACCCGAACGGTCCGCAACGTTCCCAGCTCGTCCGCCGCCACTAGCGACTGCCACTGCTGAAGCCACCGTAGCGAGCGAGCGCGCGCAAGGAGCACGGTAGCAAGCAAGCGCGTGCGCGCGCTAGCTGCACGTGATCGACGGCGCCACGCCAGTGCTCTTTGCGAACGCAACTAGGAGTGAGGGGGATTGGGAAATAGGGACGCGGGAAAACGGGGACACAGGAAAAGTGGAAGGAAGAACGGGAACGAGAAATTTCAGAGAAGGAACGAGAGAAGGCGGGGACGCAAGAAAAATGCCTTCATGGCAAGCGAATGCATTTGCTGTCAGAACTATACAATACGCTATAGAGGGGCACTTCTCATGGGGTACAGCCCTGATAGGTTTTGCCTATACAAACTTTGTACTGTTCCCTTTCTACTCATCATTCTTCGTTCTAGCTTTAACATGGTTTCAGAGCAGGTTCCCTAATGGGAACGTTTTTTTAGGGCCCACCACCACGGACTTTTTTTTTCTGCCCTGCCCAAAGCGCACTGCCGTGCCTGCCTGCCCCGTCACGCGCCTTGCGCTTGCCTACCCGCGCCCTCGAGCGCCTGCCCTATCCGAGCCCTCGAGCGCCTGCCTGTCGCCCTACCCTGCAGACCGCTCGCGGGCCTGCCTTGCACCCGTGACGCCGCCTCTGGACCCCGCGGCGCCGCCCCTGGACTTCACGACGCCGCCCCTGGACCCCGCGACGCCGCCTTTGGACCCTACGACGCCACTCCTAGACCCCGCGACGCCGCCCCTGGTCCCCGCGACGCCCCTGAGGGACCCGGGCGTCGCCCCTGCTCGTCGCGACGCCCTTGCGGGACCCGCGCGGCGCCGCTCCTGCTCGTCGCGATGCCCCTGCGGGACCTGTGCGGCGTCGCCCCTGCTCGTCGCGGCGCCCTCTGGGCGTCGCCCCTGCTTGTTGCGACGCCCACTGGGCGTCGTCCCTGCTTGTCGCGGCGCCCCCTAGGCGCCGTCCCTGCTCGTCGCGACTGACGCGCGGGTCCCTCCCCCTTGACTGCTGGACTGGCCCACGTGAAGTCGGAGCTGCATAAGAGACACACGTGCATAGACCTAGGTGAGCTGCGCAAATATCTTGGCTTGCAGATCACCCGGGACAGAGCACGGCGCACCATTATCTTGACTCAGTCACACATGATGCAGCAGGTCCTTCAGCGCTTCAACTTTACGTACTCCTCGCCTCAGGCCACTTTTCTGTCTACTCGCCACTCGCTCTCAGCTCTGCCTTCAGATGAGTCCGTAGAGCCGAGTGGCCCGTACCCAGAGCTTGTAGGCTGCCTCATGTACCTAATGACCTGCACTCAACCTGACTTGGCATACCCTCTTAGCATCCTGGCACGCTATGTTGCTCCTGGGAGACACCGACCAGAGCACATGGATGCAGCTAAGAGGGTGTTGCGCTACCTGTGCAGTAGTTGTCCGTACTGTTCACGCAGACGCTTCTTGGGTTGACGACTTGGCTACGCAGTGGTTGTCACAGGGTTACACCTTCAGCCTTGGTTCTGGCTCTGTATCGTGGTTATCTACCCGCTCGTCTTCTGTTCTCAGCTCCAGTTGTGAGGCTGAGATCTACGCCAAAGCCATAGCTGCACAGGAGTTAAGCTGGCTCACCTACGTGCTGACCGACTTGGGAGAGGCGCCTCGTTCCCCTCCAGTTCTATACTCCAGTTCCCCTACTACTACTACTACTACTACTACTACTACTACTACTACTACTACTACTACTACTACTACTACTACTACTACTACTACTACTACTACTACTACTACTACTACTACTACTACTTCTACTACTACTACTACTACTACTACTACTACTACTACTACTACTACTACTACTACTACTACTACTACTACTACTATTACTACTACTACTACTACTAGTGCTATTACTACTACTACTACTAGTACTACTACTATTACTACTACTACTACTTCTACTACTACTACTCCTACTACTACTACTACAACAACTACTACTACTACTACTACTACTACTACTACTACTACTACTACTACTACTACTACTACTACTACTACTACTACTACTACTACTACTACGACAACTACTATTACTACTACTCCTACTACTAGTATTACTAGTGCTACTACTACTACTACTACTACTACTACTACTACTACTACTACTACTACTACTACTACTACTACTACTACTACTACTACTACTACTACTACGACAACTACTATTACTACTACTACTACTCCTACTACTAGTATTACTAGTGCTACTACTACTACTACTACTACTACTACTACTACTACTACTACTACTACTACTACTACTACTACTACTACTACTACTACTACTATTACTACTACTACTACTACTACTACTACTACTACTAGTACTACTACTACTACTACTACTACTACTACTACTACTACTACTACTACTTCTACTACTACTACTCCTACTACTACTACTACAACAACTACTACTACTAGTACTACTACTACTACTACTACTACTACTACTACTACTACTACTACTACTACTACTACTACTACTACTACTACTACTACTACTACTACTACTACTACGACAACTACTATTACTACTACTACTACTCCTACTACTTGTATTACTAGTGCTACTACTACTACTACTACTACTACTACTACTACTACTACTACTACTACTACTACTACTACTACTACTACTACCCCTACTACTACTACTACTACTACTACTACTACTACTACTACTACTACTACTACTACTACTACTACTACTACTACTACTACTACCACCACCACCACCACCACCACTACTACTACTACTACTAGTTCTACTACTACTACTACTACTACTACTACTACTACTACTACTACTACTACTACTACTACTACTACTACTACTACTACTTCTACTACTACTACTACTACTACTATTATTATTACTACTACTATTACTACTACTACAAACAAGCGTCACATGCAGCGTAGTTTGGCGAAGGAGGTCAAACGAGTTCTCATGGCAAGGGAATAGGATGTAATACCTGAATGTGTGAAGAAATAGTGCTAAAAATAACATCCAAATGCTGAAACGATGACATGTTGCGCACAGGCCTATCCTTGCACACATTCAGGCCAGCAAACGCACAAACAAGCATCACGTGCAGTGTAGTTGGGCGAACGAGCCCAAACCAAATTCCGTGGCAAGGGAATAGGACATACTACATGTGTGAATATACAGTGCTAAAAGCAACATCCAAACGTTGAAAAGATGACATGTTGTGCACAGGCCTATCCTTGCACACATTCAGGCCAGCAAACGCACACACAAGCGTCGCGTGCTGTGTATTTGGGATGACGTACTACCTGGATGTGTGAAGAAATAGTGCTAAAAAAAACATCCAAGCATTGAAACGGTAACATGTTACGCACTAGCCTATCCTTGCATAGTTTCAGACCATCGAATGCCTAAACAAGTGTCACGATACGTGGTGCCGTTTTGACGTCCGGTTATTCATTTTTTGTACGAGATTATGCGATTTTGATTTGCAGTCGCAAGAATGCCTTAATATATCGTACACAAACCTCTCCGTAACTTATGGTATAGGAAATGGTGTATCCTAAACTCTCTGAGGGATCGCTTATTATTGAGTACGGTAGCCGCAACTTGGAAATGTAATGTGACACCTTATCTCTATTCACTCAAACTGAATGTAAACCACCAATGCATTTTGTGCTCTAGTTGTGGTTACTACTTTTTATAACAATGCATATGTGTTACGAGTGCAATTGAGTGAGCGAGCGAGAATTGCACTATCGAAGCAAGAGTTCTTTGAGCGAAGGCATGAGCGAAGAATATATAGCGAAACTACAGTGGTAACGGTAATGGACTGTGGTTGTCGCGCGACGTGCCTGGGACTAAGGTTTGGGGAAATGTCGAAGCGGAGGCCCGGAGCGCGGGGTACCCGCCGAGCCGTGAGGTCTGGGTGCAACGTGCTAAAGTGGCGGGAGAATTGTCGATGCGAGGGTTGCGAATGGTAACGGTGCTGACTGTGGTGCTATAGTGGTGTACGCGCTGAGCGGGGACGGGAAGTAAGGGAAAGGAATTTTCCTTACACTACCCCCACCCCCCCTAAGGAGGTCTTCCTTACGAAAGCGCGTGTACATCTCTGAAGTTTTGGCTGTGCAGATACTCGGTGAGGAGAGGGTGGTTTTTGACTCTGTCCAGGGGAACCCAGTTGTCTTCGGTGGGTGTACGGTCTTTCCAGCGGATCAGGAACTCGATCCTTCGGGCTCCTCGAGGGTCACGAACTCTGTGGCTCAGAATTTTCTCAGGTGTGATGATTGGTTCAGTCGGTGGTCGTGTCATGCTGGCTGGGCAATTACGTGGCAGTTGGCTTGTGGACGGTATGTAGGGGCGAAGTAAGCTGACGTGGAAGGATGGGCTGACATACCAGTCAGCGGGGAGGAGGAGATGGGCGGTGATGGGCGTAATCATGTGGCTAATGCGGAATGGTCCACAGTATTGGGGGCGAAGTTTTGGGGTGATGGGCAGGCGGAGGTTCTGGGTGTCAAGTAAAACTAGGTCGGCGGGCTGGTAAGTGATGGCGGTGGCGGTCGGCGTTACGTTTAGCGATGATGTTCGATTTTTTTATTGTGTCTGCTGCCCGGGTCCGTGCTTCTTGTAAAATTTCGGCGAACTATTGTGCTCATAGCACCGGGTTGTCAGGATTCGGGGTCATGGGTACTGTTGGGTCCTGTCTGTAGTTCAGGTAAAACGGCGACTGCTGGGTCATGGCAGAGGGTGAGTTATTGTACGCGAATTCAATGAGTGGCAATTGATGTTCCCAAGTGGTTGGGTCGTCGCACGTGGCTCGAATGAGTTGTTCCATCGTATGATTTGTCCTCTCTGTCTGTACGTTGGTCTTGGGGTGGTATGAAGAACGGAACTGTAGTCGCATACTGAATTGTTGCCACAGGTTCCGCCAGATTCTGCTTGTGAATTTCGTATCTCGGTCGCTGATGATCACCGCTGGTATCCCGTGCAGCCGAACGACGGTGGAGATGAAGAGACGTGTTGTTACTTCGGCTGTGATTGATTTTTTGCATGCTGCGAAGTGTGCCATTTTCGTCAGTCGATCGACGACGACCAGGATCGTGTCGTTCCCACTTGGCCCGGCCGGTAAACCCGTGACAAAATCCATCGTCACCTACAGCCGAGCACGCTCTGGGGGTGGTATCGGCTACAACTCTCCTGCCGGCCGCTTCCGTGATGATTTCATGAGCTGGCAAGTGGGACACGATGCCACGTGTCGTTGTACGTCGGTCAACATCTCGGGCCAGTAATAGTACCGCTGCAGCTGCTGCCGTGTTTTCTCTACCCCGAAATGCCCTGAGGTAACTCCGGCCGTGTGCCTCCTATAACAGTAACTCCTGTAGCAATTGTGTATCCTGGTACCCAGATGCGGTCGGTCCCGGCTTTTACATAATAGACTCCCTTTGCTGCTGCAAACTGCTGCGAATTTTCTCCTGTGAAGAATGGGTCCGTTTGGTACCCGTGGGTGAATAGGCCTGTCAATAGTGGATTTGTCTGGGCGAGTAGTATTGCGTGAATCTGGGCAGCGGGGCGAGTCAGGGCGTCAGTGATGTTCGATGCCCCCTTTTTGTAGGTGACTGTGTAGTGGAAATTTGACTCGAGGAAATCGAGCCAGCGGATCTGTCGTGGGTTGAGGTGTGGCTGTGCGAGGAGGTACTGTAGTGATTTATGGTCTGTCCGTACTGTCACGTCTGCGCCGGTCAAGTAACAGCGCCATACTTTGAACGCGTGCACGATCGCAAGCATTTTGCGGCCGTGTATCGGGTAATTTTTCTCGGGCAGATGCAGTTTGCGTGACTCGTATGCGTGTGAGAAATGAGGAATGATTGCATTGAGCAGCATGAGGAGTACTAGGAAACCCTAAAGTGCTGTACACCATATAGACTACCCCACTACAGCCTAAACAAACTACAGCATATAAGTTCGACACACCCCCATATGCAAAGTGGGGGAGAACAAGGGGTCACAAGACCAGTCAAGAGAAACAAGGCAAGCCCAGGGTGGATCACAACGTCACCACACAATCTGAGCACAAGCACAAGGCCACAAGGCCAGTTCACATGCAGAGTTATATACCAAGATGAACAAACAGAGCAGTGATCTCAATCTAGCAAAGGTAAGCATGCAACTGCAGGTATATATAGATCACAGTACAAGCAAAGTCAAGAAGTGAGCAAGTGAGGTCAAGTAGGCACAAGACCTAGCAAAGTACAAAAGCGCTGATGATCACAAGTCGGAAGTGCCTTGGTAAAGATATCAGCAGTGTTGGCCTCAGAGGCCACGTAAGCAAGGCGCAGCTGACCGCGCTGCTGCAGCTCACGAGCAAGGAATTAGCGAAGAGCAATGTGCTTCGTTCTGTGCTCCAGTCTGTGCTCCCGACACAAGGCCAACATGGCCTTGTTGTCTACGTACAGAACTGGAGGAGAACAAGGCGGCTCTCCTAGGTCAATCAGTAGGTAGGTGAGCCAGCGTAGCTCCTATGCAGCCATGGCCCCTGCGTAGATCTTGGCCTCACGGCTGGAGCCGAGAACAGAAGACGGGCGGGTAGACCGCAACGAGACAGAGCCGGAACCAAGATTGAAGGTGTAACCCTGTGACGACCGCTGCGTAGCCTGGTCGTCAGCCCAAGAAGCGTCTGCGTGACCTGTGAGGACCACCTGGACGTCGCCCTCCAAGCACTAGCCCCATGCCCGACATACTGCACAAGTAGCGCAACACCCTCTTTGCTGTAGCCATGTGCTCTGGTCGGTGTCTCCCAGGAGCCACATAGCATGCCAAGATGCTAAGAGGGTATGCTAGGTCAGGTCGTGTGCAAGTCATCAGGTACATGAGGCACCCAACAAGCTCTGGGTATGGGCCACTCGGCTCTATGGACTCATCCGAAGGCAGAGCTGAGAGCGAGTGGCGAGTAGACAAAGGAGTGGCCTGAGGCGAGGAGTACGTGAAGTCGAAGCGCTGAAGGACCAGCTGCACCATGTGTGACTGAGTCAGGGTAATGGTGCGCTGTGCTCTGTCCCAGGTGATCTGCAAGCCAAGGTAGCTGCGCAGTTCACCCAGGTCTGTGCACGTGTGTCTCTTCTGCAGCTCGGCCTTCACGTAGGCGAGTCCAGCAGTGTCAGCAGTGGCAAAGACCAAGTCATCGACATACACGAGGATGTAGAACGGCGGCAAAGAGGTGTCGGTGCGCAGAAACAGCGACGGGTCGGCTGTAGAAGGAGCAAACCCAAGAGCCGCAAGTGTAGTCCTCAGTGTGTCATGCCACTCACGGGGCGCCTGGCGGAGACCGTAGACTGGCCGCTGGAGGCTCCACCGGGTACCAGGGGGGAACGACCCAGTCAAGCCAGGTGGGCGGCGCAGCCAGATCTCCTCGTGCATGCTGCCGTGCAAGAAAGGTGTGCCAAAGTCAAGAGAGTGAAGCTCGTAGTCGAGCTAAGCGGCTATGTGCAGCAGCACCCGAAGAGTGGTCATCTTCGGGGTAGGGGAGAAGGTCTGAAAGTAGTCAACTCCCTGCCGCTGACTGAAGCCTCGAGCCACGTAACTGCGCCTTGAAGACAGGCAGAGAACCCGGCGGCCGCTTCACCCAGAAAATCCACATGGCACTGACGATGTTCGCCCCATATGGGGGAACCTCGTCGACGTAGATGCCTGTGGACTTTCAGGAAGCCATCTCTGCGTCCATGGCTGACTGCCACTGTGAGGAGTAGGGACCCTCGATCGCCTCAGCGTACGATCGAGGAGTCGGGATGTCTGGTGCATCCGGGTCTCCCTCAGGGCAATCAGCGTGGACACGAGATGAGGCAAAGCAGCAGCAAAACACTGGAACTCCTCCTGCCTGTCCTCAAGGACGTAAATGCTAAGAGCACACTCACCCCCGACGGACGAAGGACAGACAGACTCAGACTCAGCAACAAGACTAGCAGCGTAGTCTAGACAACAACGAGCAGCAAAGTTGACAAGCTCAGCAACTAAGGCAGACGTAGCAGTGGACTCAAAGGAAGGGTTAGTGACAACAGTAGCCAGGAGACGCGTGACAGTAGGACTGGCAGCATGAAGAGAGTCTGACTCCGGGTCAGCAAGAGTAGGAAGAGAGGACTCTGGAGGAGACGGCAACGGGACACGCAGAGGAGCAGTGGAAGGACGCAGTGCCATCTGGTGTGTGCTAGGGACCGCAGGAGGACGCGGATGCGGAGCACGACCACTAGTGCGAGCAGCACGAATAGGCGACGCAGGACGAGACGCAGGCTCACGACGCTCAGCAAGACCTCCTGTAGGACCAGTGTAGGGAGACAGAGCATGCAGGGGGGAGGCGGGCTGTAACTGTTACCGCGACTGGACAGGCTGTGGACACGCTAAGGGAGGAATTGACCAGTAGAGGGTGGGAGACCAAGAACCTGCTCAAGGAGCGGAATGAAGTACGGCCTTGGCCGCGCAGCGCCTCTAGAACCAGTAGGGACAGCACCAGTACCTCCAGCGGTAGCACCAGCACCAGCAGCACCTCCAGCTCCAACAACGCCAACTCCAGCACCCTCAGAAGCACCAGCGCCAGCAAAACCACCAGCGCTAACACCCCAAGCAGCTCCAGCTCCAGCAGCTCCAGCAGCACCAACTCCAGTAGGACCGTCAGCTGAAGTACCGCCAGCAGCTCCCGTAGCTCCAGTAGCACCTCCAGCAGGACTCCCAGTCCCAGCAGCTCCAGAACCGCCAGGACGAGCACCTACCGGACCAGCAGCAACAGTAGTACCTCCAGCTCCAGCAGCACGGCTCCAGTGCCGGGCAAACCACTCGCGCAGCTCCTACGAAGAGAGTAGCTCCCGCCTCGACGAAGCACCGCCAGAGGCCACACAAGTAGACCCAGCACCCCCAGGCTCCGCACCCCCAGGCTCAGCACTCCCACGCTCCGCACCCCCAGGCTCAGCACCCCCAGGCTCCGCACCCCCAGGCTCAGCACCCCTAGGCTCAGCACCCCCAGACTCAGCACCCCCAGGCTCATTACCCCCAGGCTCCGCACCCCCAGAACCGGCACCCGCAGGCACAGCGCCCCTAGCAGCACCAGAGTCAACAGCTACCTCGACAGTCTCAACAGCGTCTACCTGGGACACACCAGACGGAGCAGGACCCTGAGGGGGGAGGGGGTCTACCGGGGGAGGACCTGGCGCAAGGAAGAGCAGCGGCGGGGGGAGGGGCGCAGTGCGGCAGGGGAAGAGACGGTAGTAAGGCACCGACTCGTCAAAGGTGACGTCCTAGGAGGACAGAACACGGCGCAAGGTGGGGTGGTAGAACTGCCAACAAGGCGCGTCAGGGGGGAAGCCAAGGAAGACGTAGGGAACAGCACGGGGGGACAGCTTGTCCGCATACAAGTCGCGGACAAACGCCCGAGATCCCCAGACCCGAAACGCAGACGCATCGCCAACCTTCCCCGTCCACCTCAAGGTGGGGGAGGTCTCTGGTAAGGAGACCCGGGGCTGAAGATTGAGCTGATGCGCCGCGTACTGAACCGCAAACGGCCACAGAAAATGGGGAGCAGCCGCATGGATCATGGACGTACGAGCGACGTCCATGACCATGCCAATGCGGCGCTCAGCAATCCCATTTTGCTGTGGAGAGGCCGCAAGCGTGAAGGTCTAGTGGATGCCCTATGCACGACAGAAGGCTCCCACACGGGCAGAGGAAAGCTCCCCGCCTCTGTCAGAGTGCTGACGCAGAACAGGAAAGTCCGAGCCGAAACTCTCTCTGAGCTGGAGACGAGCTGCAAGGATCCAGTCGATCAACACCTCAGTGACGTCACCCTTGCTGTACAAGGGGAACACCGTGGTGTAACGCGAGTAGTCTTCAACCACCAACAAGAAGTAACGCTCGTGACCCTGGCCACGGACGCGGGCGGGGCCCCACACGTCCATGTGAAGAGGCTGCAGGGGAGCCTATGTCGGAGGAAACTCGGAGGAGTGAGGAGCGGCGCGCTGCCGCCCCTCGACGCAGGGGACGCAGGTAGGGGCCGGCCCCTGAGGTAGGGGAGGGAGGGACAGGGGGAGACTAGAGACAAGGACACGGGAGGCCATGCCTCAGAGACGAGGCACGAAGGGGTGACCAAGGCGGTGGTGCCAAAGGAGAGTCAGGTGGGACAGGAGACGACACGAGCAAGGCGCAAACTCAGGACCAGACCTGGACGCTGCAGCAAATACTTGACTCGACGCAGCTACCTGACCAGACGCAGTAACAAGAGGAGACTCAGTTGTCAGTGTGTACGGGCTCGACCCCGGCTGACGGGTAAACGTGGCCAAGTGTCGGCCCGTTTGAGCACACGTACAGTGGGTCACCCGCTGACGCGCAGGTGTGAACTGGTCAACCCCCCGATCCTGTAGATCAGCTCCACTCACCAAGTTCGTAGAGAACAAGGGGAGGTAGAGACCAGAAAGGGTGCCAGAGGGGGCTGCCGAACACAGTAAGACAGTGGAGAAGCTAGCAAGGACAAGACCTCCAGAGGGGTCCGCCAGGGAGACCGCAACCGGCCGACTAAGTGGCGTAAGCGTGGTGCGGTCTCGAAAGAAGGAGCGGGAAGCACCCGAGTCAAGGGTAAGGGTGTGCAAGGCCTAAGCCGACGTGGTACCTGAGAGAGCAGACTCACCAGCACCTGGGGCAGCAGACGCACTAGCACCTGGAGCAGCAGTCTCACCAGCACCTAGAGCAGCAGCCTCAATGCCCGGGTCAGGCGGAACACACAGGTAACAGTCACCCTCATCGTCAGTAGACACAGCATGCATGGCAGCAAGAATAGCATCATAGTCAAGATCAAAGATAGCTGCCCCAGCCCTAGACAGCTCTCCCCAGCGAGGGATCTCAGTGGCGTCAGGGAACTGATGACGCCAAGCGTCCGTCATGCGGCCGAAGCAGCGCTGGGTGGAGTGCGTGCCCCCGCACTGCTCACCAGCACAGTCGCCTGTACGGAGGACGTAGGTGCAGGGACCAGTACCCCCACCCCGCTGACGCCCAGCGTACCACTCACGAAGCTGCTGAGGGTACAGGGTCTCAAGACCGCGCTGCTACTGCTGGCGCAGACCGCCACCTCCGTCGCCTCCGCCACCTCCGCCGCCTCCGCCACCGCCGCCGCCTCCGCTCCCTCCGCCACCACCGCCGCCTCCTCCGCCTCCACTGCTGCCACCGACACCTCCACCCCCGCCACCACTCCCACCACCACCCCCACCCCCTCCACTGCCTCCACCACCACCTCCACCGCCCCCACTGGCCCCCCCTGCGCCCTTGCCCCCCTTGCCCTTGCCGGTGCGGCACTTCTCGCTAGGGACAGACGCAGCGCCGACCGACTCGAAGCCAACGAGGTCGGCCGCAGCAGCAGGAGCAACAGAGGGCAAGAGGGGGGAGGGAGAACACCCCTCAAAGACAGGGGTGCGAGGGTCACCACGAGAGGCTCCTACAGCGACTATGCTCTTCTCTGCTGCTAGGAGGCGCTCCTCGAGGAGGTCAACGGTGAGTGTGGTGGGGCAAACTAAGAGGAAGTGGTCCCTGACTAAGCGAAGGGAGTCAGGGAGCCGGGTGACTATGTAGTAGAGGGTGATGTACATGGGGGGGGGGTTCTTGGCACAGAATTCAGCAGGATGCGCAGCGCGGTAGCGAGTGTCACTAGTGCGAAGGTGCGTAATGAGGTCAGCGACTGTGGGAAAGGCAGCAAGGTCAGAGAACAGGTACGGCAGCATGAGGCGGCTAAGCGCAGTAGTGGCAGCGGAAGAGTAGCGTGCAACTAGAGCGTCGTACAAGGTCTTAGCACTCTTGTACTGGCTAAATTGCACACGCTCAGTGGTCGGTAAGTGGCGACGCACAGCAAGACGTGCAGCAGCATCGCGCGTGGCCCACTGTGAGCGAACAGTGCTGTCAGCAGTAGCAGGCGGGGCAGGAGAGACACTAGAGGTGAGATCGAACAGAGAGAGTCCGTCTGCCCTATCGCACTGTAAGAACAGCTGGAGGTCATCGACCCAGACCTCAAAGTCAACAGCACGACCCTCAGTATCAAAGGTAAGGACACTGGGGGTAGCCATGTCTGCAGTGGTCTAGCAGGGAGTGAGCTCACCAGTCCAAGGAAGTAGGGCCGGGGCGCGTCGGACATGACAGTGGCGGCTCGACGGCAGGGCGGCTCGGCGGCTCGGCTGCTGGGCGACACGGCGGCTCGGCTGCAGGGCGGCCTGGCGGCTCGGCGGCTCGGCTGCTGGGTGGCTCGGCGGCTCGGCTGCTGGGCGGCTTGGCGGCTGAGCTGTCGGGCGCCTCGGCTGCTGGGCTGCTGGCGGCGTTGAAGGGGCCGGTAGAGACGGCGACGCGGCCGTGAAGAACGGCGACGGGGCCGCTAGGGGCGGCTACGGGGCCGCGAAGGGCGACGACGGGGCCGCAAAGGGTGGCGACGAGGCTGCTAGGGTCGGCGACGGGGTCGGTAGGGCGGCGACGGGGCCGGTAGGGCGGCAACGGGGCCGGTAGGGTCGGCGACGGGGCCGCTTAGGGCGGCCACGGGGCCGGTAGGGCAACGACGGGGCCGGTAGGGTCGGCGACAGGGCCGCTTAGGGCGGCAACGAGGCTGCTAGGGTCGGCGACGGGGCTGGTAGGGCGGCGACGGGGCCGCTAGGGTCGGCGACGGGGCCGGTAGGGTGGCGACGGGGCTGCTAAGGGCGGCGAGGTGGCCGCGAAGGGCGGCGACGGGGCCTCCCGGGGCGGTGACGGGGCCGTTAGGGGCGGCGACCGGGTCGTAGAGGGGCCGGAAGGGGCCTGGAGAGGCGGCGACGGGGCCTAGAGAGGCGGCGACGGGGCCGCGAAGGGGCCGCGAGGGGCCTAGATAGGCGGCGACGGGGCCGCTAAGGGGCCGCGACGGGCCTAGAGGCGCGACGACGGGGCCGTGAGAGGGGCCGCGAGGGGCCGCGAAAGGGGCCGCTAGGGAACTGACGAGGGCGCGACGGGCCGCTAAGGGCTAGGGACGCGACGGGAGGGAGGGCACACGGGGCTCGACTCGGGAAGGAGAGAAGCGCGCCCCGAGAAGAAAAAAATAAATTAGTGGTGGGCCCTTAGGAAGCGTTCCCACTAGGGAACCTGCTCTATACCATGTGAGAAATGAGGAATGATTGCATTGAGCAGCATGAGGAGTACAAGTAGGAAACCCT